GCCACAACGCCCGGCTATTTTTTGGTTGCAGCCGTCATTGTTGTTTGGCGGGTCCGGGCTGGGGATTCGAACCTACCACCTTAGGTGTACGTGGCTGGCGCCTTAGCCGGTTGAGCCACAGGCGCCGAGCCTCCCCAACAATTTTCAATAGGAAGTGTGTGTAGGGTATCAGGAAATCACGCTATGAAAGGCACTGTGATAGAAAAACACCAACAACTGCCTCGGCGCCCGTAGCACAGTGGTTACAGCGCCAGCCACATACACCGAGGGTACGGGTTCAAACCCAGCCAGGGCCAGCTAAAAGAACAATGACAACTCCCAACAAAAAACAACCACGTGTTGTGGAGGGTGCCTACAGTCCCAGCCGCTTGGGAGGCTGAGGCAGGAGAATCCCTTGAGCCTGGGAGTTTGAGGTTGCTGTGAGTTGTGACGCCACAGCACTCTACGGAGGGCGACATAGTGAGATTCTGTCTCAAAAAGAAAAAAAGATAAACACCAAAAACCTTTCCGGAAAAGCCCCAAGGCCCCGCCAAGCCCCCGGGCCGCACCTGCGCAGTAGAAACCGGCTGCGCGCGGAGGAAGTCAGAAGGCAGGAAGCCCCGCCCCCTTCCCGGCTTCCTGGTCTCCTCGGTTTTTCCCCTTTCGCTCTCTCTGAGCCAGCGGCTGCAGCCGGGCTCTGGTCTCCAGTTTTTGGTACGTTCCGCTGCGTTTACCGCTGCACCTGCACGGCCCCACCCCTTCCCCGTGCGGGCTCGCGCTCCTGTACCCTCCTGGTCTCCGACCCGCAGCATCCAGTCCTCTTCCCGGTCCGGCCCGCAAGCCGCGGTGCCAGCACCATGGTGGGTACCGTGACGTCACAAGGGGCGCCCTTGCAAAACGCGGGCGGTTCGGACTTTTGAGTCAGGTTGGGAATCCCGCCTTTGTCCCTCTGGATTGGTGTTAGGCCCGAGTTTTTTCCTCTCCGTCTTTAGCCCTGCTCTTTAAGATCTTCGATGTGGCCGGCGCCCTACCCACTGAGTTACGGGCGCCGCCACTTCTCAACATTTGAGAAGTGCCTGAAAGCAAATGTTTTTTGTTTTTTTCCCTTATGAGGAAAAAACCCAACAGTTCTTAGAGTGTTGGCGGGGACAGCATTAGGCGGAAAAGCTAGGCCCCAAGGAGCAGTTCCCTGCCATAAACCAGGCTTCGGGAGGGTGAGGGTGGGACACTTTCTGCAGTTTACTGAAAAGAGCAGCAGGGACCCCAGGAAAGGTGGTTGTTTGAGAGAGCAAGCCGCGGCGACCGAAGGGTGTAGGGCAGAGTCTATCTTGGCCTTTAAGTGAGGTGCTCAATGGAATGTGCAAGCCTTATTTGGGCAAGACTTTCACGCCTGTCTACCGAGTATTCTTTGAAGTTTTGAAAAACTGCTAGAGATGTAGTGGTGATCTGAATACCAGTGTTAGGTAATACTGGCAGGGGGCACTCCCTCCTATGTTCTTTCCCATATGATGGTTTTCCCCCTCTCGCCCAATAGCTCTTCTATTCCTTTTTCAAGTCCCTTGTGGGCAAGGATGTGGTCGTGGAACTCAAGAATGACCTAAGGTAGGTACCTATTCCAACAAGTCTGTGTGGGGTGAGGGTTCCCAGGGCCCTGGAACCTTTTAATTTGTCAAGTATTGGAGGGCTGGGCAAGATGGGAGAGTAGAGAAGAAAATAATGACTTGTGCCTTAAGTCTGCAGATTAGCTGGATAGTTGTACATATAGTTTAAAAAGTAAGTGTTAGGCTCGGCACCTATAGCTCAACCGGCTAAGGCGCCAGCCACGTACACCTAAGGTGGCGGGTT